CACATTTTTATTGTGGTAAGCATGTGTTTGCCAGTGCAATCGACAGTGTTACTTAATTTCGATTTGAGTAGTTTTCGAGACAATCAGCAATTCTTGCATAAGGACTTAATCAGCCTAATTGTTGAGATTACTTCCATTTCGACTGGAAGTGTTGGTTGAAGATATTCGAAGGTCAATTCCACCAGAAGACGACGACGGATTCCTCTTGACCATCTGTCGATTGGCTTTACTGGAACATTCATGCTGACACTGTTTCCGAGGCAATCTCTTTCGATTCCGGTAAAAGGTGTTAAGCTTTCGTCCGTCGCAAGAGCAGGGTATCATCGTCACAACCAAATTGAAGCTAACGAGTCAAGAAAACTCACTGGCAAATCCCTAAACAGTGGTATATATACTCTACATCTGGTAGTTAAGGTCATATGTCAAATTCGATACCTTGGAATGTGTATGTCTCTGTATGTGCATGTGCCCGTTTGTGTTCGCTTACGCACGAAACCCGAAGTGATGGATCAAAGTAATTAGGACAGCAAAAAGCAACGTCTGTTTTTGGCAATCAAGGTTTGATTACCCAAATCTCTCCCTTTCTACATACATGATTCAACCATCACTCCGATTGCGCAAGGTCGGACAATCCTATAGGTTGGTTAAAGAGCTTTTTTTGTTTTGGTCTCAATGAGAGAGAGAATGAGTGGTCTAAAAGTAAAGAGAAGTGACTATTCTTAGAGCCAAGACAAGAAAAGACTAGTTGCGTCGCCTCCTTTTTGCAGGCGGCTCAACGCTCTCTCTATCCTTCATTTTTATTAATTAAGCACAAATAGTTTTTACTTATCTTCTTTCCAATATTCCTTACATTCAAAGTATTTCCTATTCAGTTTATTTCGATGGCTTATCTAATCAGCAAAGCGACAAGTTTGAGACTATTCCATCTCGTGTCCCGTTTCTGTCTTGTGCTCAGCAAGCTTCGAGCTTCGAATCTCTTCACGCAACACTTTCACTCGAAATGGAAGTAAGCTCAACAATTATGAAACAAAACATTCCTCGAAACGCAACTTTTATTCGCATATTAATCAGCCTAGCTCGCTTAAGGCGACTTAAGAAGTGATGAAGACTTAGAGGG